GTTGGCCCCCTTGACGTCAACTGCGTTTTTTGTCAAATTGTGAGCCATCTGGCATTATATTTGGAAAATAATGACGTTGCATACGTAGCTTAGTTCATGGGGCTTACTTTGAAACCGGTTTTGTTACTGTAACCCATTCCTAGTTGACTCTACAAGGCCAAAAGTCAAAAATCACAAGGTCAAAAATCAATTTAATAAATTAAAAATGTATAAAAATGTATTTCAAGGCGTTTACATGGGATAAACTTCATTTTCGTATAGGGGGGCCAACTTGCCCCGACCCTGGGGCCAACTTGCCCCGTGGCGGGGCAAGTTGGCCCCCTTGACGTCAACTGCGTTTTTTGTCAAATTGTTAGCCATCTGGCATTATATTTGGAAAATAATGACGTTGCATACGTAGCTTAGTTCATGGGGCTTACTTTGAAAACGGTTTTGTTACTGTAACCCATTCCTAGTTGACTCTACAAGGCCAAAAGTGTCTAACTGGGCCAACTAGCCCCGGTCTCCCCTACTTACCTGTCTCATGACTTTAGCCACGGTCTCCTCTGTATACTTATTCTTGTAGCTCAGGAACTGCAGAACATTTTCTCCGTACAGCCTGTCCATGATGAGGATGAGATGGTCGGGCGTGGTGAAGGCTTCGTGGAGTCTCACAATTCGCTCCTGATTCAGCGTCTTCAGAATTTCGAACTCGTGGAGAACCTGGCTGCGGTTGCTTGGTGTGAAAGCAATTATTTTGGCGGCAAGAGTCGCCGGCATGTCTTTCCTGCCGCAGCTTCGAACCACGGAGAAATTGCCTCTACAAAATTAAAAAAAAAAGATATCAATTCGCTTTTCATAAATTAAAAAACCTTAAGCAATGTTTCACAGGGTATTGATTCTCAAGCCATATTATGCGTCTGTATCACTCAGAATAAATGCGATTTGTTTTAAAAACAACCAATTCATTTAATTCCTTGTCAATAACATTTTCACTGTCTTCTTTAACTTTACAGGCCTTAACATTAGTCACAAACCTCCATAATTCCCCAGCAAACTCGTAGTCCTCAGCTGGGTTCCGTTCAATCAGGGGCACCTCTCCTCTCTCCCGGGCAGACTCGAAGTCACGCAGCTCAGGGGACAGGTCAGCATCACCCTGAATGTCAATCTTCTTGCACTGACGCATTTTCTCTCTACTCAGAGGCGCTTCACCTTGATATACAATGTGGTATATTAGAGATGTTCAATAATCATTCAACTTTGTTCGGGTTTAAGAAAAGGCAGGTGAGTGTGGTTTGTTCTGAACAGCAATAAAAATGCCTATTCTTAAATGTAGCAATGTCTATGACGTGCTAGAAGGCTTTTGTAATGAATGAAAAATAATTAATTTTTCGTATTTCAGCTTTCTAGTTAAAAAATTAGTAAAATTTTATTGGCGCACCTTTCGCAAAAATGCTACAACCTAACTATAATACATTTCAACGAAAACATACGCGTTTGCATTTCGTTGGATTACTTCTGATTTGGCTTGCTTAAAAGTAGACTAAAAATCATTCCTAACATTTTAGATCAACGTTCGGTTTTAAGGTCTATGGTGAAACAGGAACCATCTACACATTTACACATTGGTCTCTGGGAAAGAATAAACACAGTGGCGTTTACCTGCCGACTTCGTGGTCACTTCCTGCGATGACCAGCTGTACGGGCTGACCCCAAATCTGTTCAGACAAGATACCCGAAAGCGGTATTCTGTTTCCGGGCTCAAATCTGTGACCAGGGCGCACTCGTCAATGGTGTACGACGCCGTCGTCCAGCGCTCCTCTCCTGTGAGATTAAAGACGTTGCGTTGACGAAATAGGAGTTATAAATTATTCGTGGTATATTGGTGGATTAAAATAACCCTATAACTGTTTCAGAGCAAACTCCTTTTGGCTTGACATTGGTGAAGTGTTCTGTCTTTAATGGCATTGTTGATTCGAATGATCTTAATTTAATTACCTCATTTATACGGCTAGTATCCTGAACAAAGTCAAACACTTCTGTCTCGTTTTTGACTATCTTTTTAATTAAGAAATAAGTTAAGATTGTTGAGTGACGTTTTAATTGCATCTACAGATATTTTCTTCATATTTCTAAATATTTACAATATTCAGAGCAATTATATGTTAACGAAGGCATACGCGCTTCCTCTTGGTTTTCCCCCAACAACCAAAAGAAGTTCTGAACATCACCCACCTTCACGTCTGTAGTCAACTTTATAGGCAATGATATGCGTATTCCCGTCAAATTTGGGAGCGTCCCAAATGAGGAAAACCTCCGTCCCAGACACCTGGGACACCGCGGGACGACCTGGACGATCTGGGACATCTGAAATGTCAGAAGTACGTGTAAAGCTTCGTTTAACGTGTAAAGTAAGTACTAAATGAGAAGTGCCGCACTGAAGCTCAAAAGCAACGCCCGAGCAATGTTAATAAAATCAGCAAGGAAATATCTTCGAAAAAGCAGTGATGAAAACACCAAACCACATGTCCTGTCGGTTGGAAACTGGGCATTGTTTCTACTGCAGTCTGCTTGTCTTGTCGTTTTAAGACTGAAATATGAATATTTGGACATAAGGGTGGTTTTCCTATTGTGCAATGGGGGGCTGATAAATCTAGGAAATATTGCAAATCGTCTTAATAGTCGGTGGTGCCAGAAATTGGATTGGTGAATTAAAAAACCAAACTGTTGGAGTACATGAAATATTTCGGCGGTTCGATAGGTGACGCAGATGTGCAGGGCAATGGAACTGTGTGTGTTCGAGTTGGGGCGGGAGGGGGAGGGAGCTCAGGACAACGAAGGAGTAATAAACCGAATAAATGTGGTGAAAGACAACAAATTGCCTTTTTAAGTATAATTTTTTCATCACAAGTTTAACAACTCAGGTTCAGTAATTGTAAGGTTACTGTTGAGGTGAAAAAGATATTGTCAGCCAGACGGTTATAGCCATAGTAAAGCGTTTTTTTTTGTATTTCTGTTCATGTTCATGCCCCAACAAAATTAAAATAACACAAAATAGAAATACAGTGGGTTCCTTTTTATCTTACTAAATCCATATCATTTATGTTATCAAGGTGACATGCATCGTTCTTAGTTAACACCTTAAAATCAAAATATTTTTTAGTTTTATTTTTTGAGAAGATATAACTTTACACGGTAATGCAAGTAAAAAGGAGAAATAGAGAGGGCACGTGCTGTCAAAAAGAACTTAAAAGAAAATATGACACACAGAACAAATGCAAATAAGGCATCTGAGAAGCACAATCGTTGCACACATGGCTACATCACTCTTTGTGTTTACAAGGTCAGAAACACATTCTTGAGTTCAGCCCACTCAAGGGTGTTTTAATAACACGTCAGATCTAAAAAACGAGGTTGGTGTGTTTGTGTAATGGCATCATCAAATTTGTTTGCGCAATAACAAAGCAGATCAGTCCCAAGCGTTTTATTCAATAACAATATCTCGTATGCTGTATGCCCATACCAAAAAGATGGACACCCGTGGAGCACTTCTAGCTTGCAGCAGTTTGCGTCAAATAAGTTGTTCTGATGCTGCTTAAACGCAAATTCTTTAGATTGAGGGACAGACCTGCTCTTTCTGCGTAATGTCCTTTACATACACAAAATGACCAAAATTAGGCTACCTAATTTTTAGGGATAAATCCCGAAGGACAAGCGTCATACTAGAGCCATTACGCAAACACCCCTAAAATATTTACCACGCAGTGTGGATAGTATCGGTAGATCGGGTAGAGATTCTGTGCTTTGTGATTCTGACACTGTTGCTGTGCCGTCACCTAGACAACAAAGACAGTAAATAAAGCGCTTAGCAACATGTTTCTAAATACTCCTGCCATCGCCATGACTAGCCAGCGCCTGGTTGAGGAGAGCAGTCGGACTAACACCTGAAACATAGCGTCTGTTAATTACACCGTAGGATAAGATATATAAACATTAAGAAAAAATGAACAAGGAGATATAATGAAACGTTCGCATTAGAAATACAAAGCTAGGTAGAACTAATACACGAGTTACAGCAACAATATTGGAAATAAGTAAAGACTTAGTACAATAAGACTTAGTACAATGGAATAAGTGAGATGTTGTATTAACAACATAAGGAATGAGCGACGAATTATCAACACAGTAAAATGAGTTTTATGTGCGTTACAGTAACAACAAAGGGAAAGAAGGTAAGAAAGCACTGATTGTATAAGAGTAACAAAAAGCCTAATAAACAAGTTTTACGGAAAAGCAAATTGAACTTAATTTATGTAAAACAAATCACGAACTTACATTATCTGAAAGAAATTCTATTTGAAATACAACATTAAGAAAGTAAGAAACTAAAAACTATAGGCTATAAGAAATAAAGGCCCAAATTTCATTAACGCATGTAAACATACAACAAAATAAAGTGAAAGGGGCAAATTTTTAACATTAGGCCTAAATAATATTATGTATAATAAATTTTTAATTTAAAAAAAGCAATGAAAAACAACATGATTTTTTAAAAATTAAAGTACAATACAAAGATGACATATTAAGTAACCTAAAAAAGATAAGAAGTTTTAACTTTGAATTTCAATGCTATCAAAAGCATTCACCTTACCTCCGACCATCAGCCTCGCCCTGCACGTGGCGGTTCCAAGTTTGTTCCTGGCAACGCACTTGTACACTCCCGAGTCATTGGGTAACGTGTTCAGCAAGGTCAAGGTTAAGTGGCCGTCCTCTGATTGCGAGACCCGCACGCGGTTGCTGGCGCCACTGGTGTCGTCTGAACTGGTGATCATTTGGTCGTTCCTGTACCAGGAGATGGTTGGCGGTGGGCTGGCGAGCGCGTGACATCTGAGAGTTACGGGTTCGCCCACGTTGTACGCACGGTCTTTGATTTTCTCTCGGAAAATAGGTGGGAACCCTGAATAAAGTTTTACGAAATGTAAACAGATGAGAAAAAGAGAATACTTTGATATACATTATTTCGTCCACAATATTTTAAATTATTGTTAAACGTTATATATTGATCAGGGACTGTAAAACCATTTACCAATTTACCATATATAGTAGAATAGGCTTTTTAAAATAAAAATGGATCAATTTCAAACACATGGTAATCTATTTATGCTTTCTGTTCAAAAGCACTAACAGCCCAGTTGGCGACTTAACTTCAAACACATGCTCTATTTGCAGCTATACTTGAACGGATATGCCAGAGAACAATGCTTCTCCAGATATCTGATACTATTTTAGAATCATGAACAAAGTATCAAAAAGCTTCATAGGGATTTAGCTTGTCAGATCTCGACCTCACAATCTCTGGTCAAAACGTAAAATTGTTGAGCTTCAAAACAGTAAATGTTTATTTTGATTTTTTTTTTTTTTTTTTTGGAAAAAATAGTTTTGTTTTATGATAAATATAGCCACTATTTTATTTTGATTTCAGAAAAAATTGTTTCGATTGTTTCTTTTCAAAAGCGAATACAGTCAAGTTTTATCAGTCATTTAAACAGCTTCTTTGTAAAAATTTGTTCACGTCTACCAACGAAAAACGACAAATTAAAGCGAGATGGTAAGGAAAAATCTTACTGTGTCATTGAGGTCTTTTTTTTTTCTTGCAAAGACATTACATGAACACTACTTACACCAGTTTTCACTTATATTCCCTTACTTTACACACTTTACACCCTTTTTTGCTTTTCAAACAATAAAAATGCCTTTTCGGGGAGATTTCTTTCCCTTTTCTTTATGTATAATACGACTCGTTCACAAAACTTTTAAATGCCAGAATAATAGAAAAATTATGTAGGAAATTATTGATTCGGCAAAACCAAAATCGTGAAACAGACACAAAAACAGAATTGCATATGTTTATACGTAAAGAATGAATATACAACTATGAAATGACGTCACTTCAATTGAGAATTTCAATCAAGGAGCGCATTAACGCGCTTCTCCAGTCATCACAGTTCATGCACCCAAAAAAGGCTCTGCAACGGATGCCATGATGGCACCTATATAGATTGATAATTTGGAAAAAAGTTGATCTTTGGTAGATGGTGGTTTTTAGTTGGTATGAACGAAGTTAAAATGATTATGACTGGGAAGCGAACACCACGATGAAGCAAATAAACAGTTTTAAAGCATGCGTTCAAATCAAGAGGTACAAAACTGTTCTCTGATAAGCGTCAACTTTTGAGGTAATGTTTGTACACAAATATACACAGACAGCCGAACCCCACGCCAAACAGCAAAGACACGATGAATATAAGAGTGTAGTAATAATCTTGCTTCACTTTTTCGTGCACGGGTATGGAAAGCTGGGCGTGGTGGATGGGGTTAGTCTCGAGCAGACAGTCGAGGTGTTTATCTAGTAATTCCTCAGAGTCCTCTGAGAACAGTTCCGGATTTGGTGTGCTGTATTTTCTGAAGGTTCCACTTTTCCGCCTTACTCTTCTCACTCCACCGCTGGTGACGTCACCTTCCTGTAAGGTCGGGCACGAACTCGACTGGTGGAGTTCCGGTTGGAACCCGTTGGTAGGTAGCTGGAGAAGATTTGGACCTTTCTCTTCGGCACTCCCTTGCGGAGAATTATTATTGTTGTTCACTGCGCGAGCATCCGTTGATGGTGCCTTCATTTTGTCCATGACTGTGTCCACAACACTGATCATTTTGGGCAATCGAAATTTAGCAAGATCTGTATCAGATTTAGGTGTTTGCATCGAGGCAACTCCTGTTTTTCGTTGCCGAACTGTTGCCGCAGTCGTATTGTCGTTCTCATTATCAACAACACATTGGAACTCGGGCAATTCCGGCTCTTTGTTTCCGTCACCTTCAGCGACGTTATTGTTATTTGATTTGTCAGAGGGTGGTGGAGCTTCGCAAAGTCTTTCTGTTCCTTCCGTATAAAACATCACATGCGTACACTCGGCTGTCTCCGTGTAGGCTTTAGATTCCAAACTAAAGAAGTTAGTTGAAGCGATGCTTAGGGGATCAACACGCATGCGTGGACTACACTTGTCCCTACTTGAATTGCATGCTGACATTGCGGGAAGTGTCTGTGGTGATACTAAAGTGCTATTAAGATGAGGTTGAGTGCAAATCATACATTTTTCAAGTGGTGCGGCAGGGGATAATTGCAAATTGTTTCTTTCAACAGTATTTGTCAGCGCATCAGCTGGCACCATGCTAACGTCACAATCGGCATGCAAGTCGACGTCATCATGACCAAAACCCTGACGTGTTTTACCTTCCTCCACCATGCGAAGCTGCTGTTCTCGTTTCTTGGCTTTCATCTGCGAGATCTGATCGTCGACTTTGGCTGCGGCACCAGCCAGGGCACGTCTCGCAGCATCCTCTTCCTCAACATCAGCGAGGTGCTGGCGTGCTTTCATCGTCTTCTTTCGGACTAATTCAGGGTCGGATTCCTTCCCTTCGGGTATCGGGAGGTCTATATCCGACTTCTCGCCCTGTTCTCGGCGATATTCGCGCAGCCTCACTGGCATGGAGTCGACAGTAGGTAAAAGTTTTGTGTCATCGCCTTGATAACGTGTGTACCACTCGTACCAAGCGTCTTCCTCGCCAGATGAGAAATCGTCACCAGGGGGTGCTGGCATCTCCTCGTCTGGTTCTGCCAAGAGGTCTTCTATTGTTTTCAGTTTCACTGTGAATTTCACCGCTCCAAGAGTGCGCTAGAACGAAAATGAATAGAATTAAAAGCAAAGTAAAAGATAATTATAATTACATAACCCGAAAAGTGGACAACTAAATTCGTTTTAATATTTCTTTTTTTACAGTGAAAGTGTAAAAACACAAATAAAAACCAAGACCTGAAGTTCTGTGTTGCTAACTGCGTGTAAGTTGCATTTCGTTTCACGAATACCCGCACATGTATCTTGCCATGAGAGGAGCGTAGACGTATTACACCAGAAGGCACCGGTGGTGTGAATAGAACCTATGAACCTTATATTGCGAAACTTACTTTTCATGTTCGTGGATCTTCATAAAAAAACCAAATGAAATATCAGATTTACTACATAACACATCAAAAGAAATCCACTAAAAAACAATAGCATCAAAGTGTTCAGGGCGTTTTTGTCGAGACAAAGGAAGTTTCATGCATTAACACTCGAGTGTCGTCTATTATTAGGTACGTTAAAACGGACAAGGAAGTGCCATCAAGCACTGAAAAGACCACAAAGGCAACACTGAACGCTAAAAGTGGGCCATGTAAAACCGCGTTACTGATCTCTAAAAAATAACCACTGGAATGTACAAAATGACGTGACACTGCAATTATTAATTGTTGTGTCACTAAAATCTGACTGCAACGCATAGTAACAATGTGTGCCTTAGCACTTGGACAACAAAATTTGTAATTTTGTTAGCATAATGTGAAGCACATTAATAGCAAGCTTGACGCATCAAACACTTTGGTGGGCCCTTGTAAAGGGTGCGGGTACGTACACTAGCATTTCAAAACCATCTTCCACATAATGTAGGTCAAAAAGAATGTTTTAGCAAAATATGTGCAACAATCACCTGCCACTTTCTCCTAGACACAAACTCTCGCAGTTTCTCCGTGGGTAATCTCGTCCCGGGAGCATCCACGTCCGCCAGCTTGATCCAAGGGTGTTTCAGGCACTGGGACAGTGTGGGGCGCTTGCTGAAACAGAAGTCGACGCTGATTGTTAGAATCATTTAGCAGCTAATTTACAGTTTTGATTGTGAGCATGTTCATTCGGTCCAGTTCAAAGTTGGGATCCGTTCAAAATTCGACATAACAAGCAAAGACAAATTTACCTTATTTACGTTGCACATAAATTGTGAAATGGTGAAACGGTTTGCAGCTAGTTTTCGTTTAATGTTTAGAAAATTGAGCTAAAAGCTTAATGTGCACATTATTTTATGTGGTTTACAATATTTGTCAGAGCAATGTTTGTCAGTTTGAACAGTTGAGTTTATCTCGCCTCGATAAATGATACACCATGCACAACGACTGACTAACACCGTAAATTTCAAACTCTCCTCTGCTCTCTACGACTTTTTTCACGGATGGCTGATAAACATGCTTGGTGGTAGATGCGACTTACTGCCAAAGCTCCTAACTTCAGGGTTACGCCAGAATATCAACTTTTATTACAAAAATCACGAAAAACGATAAAAATATCTGTTCACAATATTTACAGATTTCACGTTTATTATTATAAGTTTGGGAGGGGGGGGGGTTAATATTTATCTTTTCTACTTGGTTCCCATAAAGTTTGAGTTTGATATTTAAATTCAAAGTATGTATTCCTTAGATTTTTTATTTAAAACAACCCAGCATAACCACATAAAACCAAATGAACCCCATTTGACATTAAACAGGGAGATCATAAAACACAATGAGTGCATTAATCATGAGCATTGCATGACATACAGTAATATTTACAATGTAGTGTGTGTCTGTATTTGTACAATACGTTCATAAATAAAACGAGTGGTAGAGTATTCTCATACACAAGTATATGAGATAGAATCCCAACTAAAAAGCATTTCTTTAATGTACGAGTCATATTTATATATATATCGTGCGGATAGGAAACGAAATGAAATATTGACCCAAATAAAAACGCGGAAACGGGCACTTGAATCAACATGCTCAAATGCAAGATAATGCACAAGTTAATGGTATACATTACTAAACTGAACACAAAAATGATCAGTAGAACTAACTGACCACCACTGAAACCATTAAATTAACACAGTCGTAGTCAGTAGTCGGAGTCCGTCAGGGTCGCTGTTAATATAACATTTTAATGCCGACAGGCCCACTGTCTGCTAGATCAACATCTCGTGGTCCACCACGAAACGCTAACAATACCAGCTACATATTAAACAACTTACTTGTGGCCTTATTTTCCATACCCACCCAGTCATCAGTAACCTTCATTGGGAACAGTAATACTATTACTGCACAGATTTCACAATCGCGGAATAATCAGCTGGAGTTTTATTGTCAGCTAACCTCCGAAAACATTTGGTTTGGTAGATATGATAGTCCTCCCACTAGATATCAAGACAAAATACAACCTCATTTCACCACGTAGGCAACGTTCCCCATGCCAATAGAAATAATTCTAACTTACCTTTCATCAGGATTCAACAGATCGCCGATGAACTGTTTGGCCTTTTCCGAGACACCCGCAAATCCCTCGGGATCAAATGTCCAGGCGCCTTCTTTGACCTTCTCCAGCGTTTCACGGTTAGTCTTGCCTAAGAAGGGTGACACGCCGCTTAGCCTAAAACGATAACACGCAGTTCACCTATATATCAATATTAATTTCTTGTCATACATCGTTACATGTAAGTGGTGAGCTATGAGCCCAATTAGAGTGGTAGAGAGTTTCGTTCAACCTCTCTCACGCCTATGATTCTGTAATTTCTTCGTGCAATGCGTCTCACCAATGAACAACAAAGTTAATTACTAACGTATCGACAGGTCAAGGCTGGGCGGTCAAGTGTTGAGGACTCTAACTGACCACGCCTAGGACAGTAACTTGGTGACCGCACACTTTCTACTATAATTAGGGGTGGGCAAATGACAAAATTTTTTTAAANCTACTTGGTTCCGATAAAGTTTGATATTTAAATTCAAAGTATGTATTCCTTAGATTTTTTTTATTCAAAACAACCCAGCATAATCACATAAAACCAAATGAACCCCATTTGACATTACACAGGGAGATCATAAAACACAATGAGTGCATTAATCATAAGCATTGCATGACATACAAGTAATATTTACAATGTAGTGTGTGTCTGTATTTGTACAATACGTTCATAAAATAAAACGAGTGGTAGCGTATTCTCGTACACAAGTATATGAGATAGAATCCCAACTAAAAAGCACTTCTTTAATGTACGATATATATATATATATATATATATATATATATATATATATATCGTGCGGATAGGAAACGAAATGAAATATTGACCAAAATAAAAACGCGGAAACGGGCACTTGAATCAACATGCTCAAATGCAAGATAATGCACAAGTTAATGGTATACATTACTAAACTGAACACAAAAATGATCAGTAGAACTAACTGACCACCACTGAAACCATTAAATTAACACAGTCGTAGTCAGTAGTCGGAGTCCGTCAGGGTCGCTGTTAATATAACATTTTAATACCGACAGGCCCACTGTCTGCTAGATCAACATCTCGTGGTCCACCACGAAACGCTAACAATATCAGCTACATATTAAACAACTTACTTGTGGCCTTATTTTCCATACCCACCCAGTCATCAGTAACCTTCATTGGGAACAGTAATACTATTACTGCACAGATTTCACAATCGCGGAATAATCAGCTGGAGTTTTATTGTCAGCTAACCTCCGAAAACATTTGGTTTGGTAGATATGATAGTCCTCCCACTAGATATCAAGACAAAATACAACCCCATTTCACCACGTAGGCAACGTTCCCCATGCCAATAGAAATAATTCTAACTTACCTTTCATCAGGATTCAACAGATCGCCGATGAACTGTTTGGCCTTTTCCGAGACACCCGCAAATCCCTCGGGATCAAATGTCCAGGCGCCTTCTTTGACCTTCTCCAGCGTTTCACGGTTAGTCTTGCCTAAGAAGGGTGACACGCCGCTTAGCCTAAAACGATAACACGCAGTTCACCTATATATCAATATTAATTTTTTGTCATACATCGTTACATGTAAGTGGTGAGCTATGAGCCCAATTAGAGTGGTAGAGAGTTTCGTTCAACCTCTCTCACGCCTATGATTCTGTAATTTCTTCGTGCAATGCGTTTCACCAATGTACAACAAAGTTAATTACTAACGTATCGACAGGTCAAGGCTGGGCGGTCAAGTGTTGAGGACTCTAACTGACCACGCCTAGGACAGTAACTTGGTGACCGCACACTTTCTACTATAATGACAGCTTTCTACTGTGAGGGCAATTTTACACTTTATACTACTTGGTGCACACAGGCGCTGTAGAAACTTATATAATGCAATATCTTTACATCCATTACTGTGGAATCGTGTCCCGTCTGCTGTAATGTGGTCACCCAAACTTTCAAGTCTAAAAGATAACTGCGGTCCAGTGGAAGGTATTCTATGAAATGAATACAGTCGGTTGTGTGGTCAATTTAAAGACGCTGTTGTTTTATTGTGCGATTTCTTGTCGACAACTGTTCGAAATGCCCCGATCGCTATTACAGTATATATTCTATACTTGGAATTTGGTGCTGTCGCATCGTGTTTTTGTGTTTAGAAATTCATATATTGATAGCAAAGGGCTTAATAATTATACCTACTGCTAAATCAAACACAAAAAGGGCAGCAGCTTTCATTCTTATTAAAATTGAATACAACACAGTTAAAACCAGTAACAATCATCATAATATACAAAGGCTAATCTGTATTATATACATCGACGTAGACAAATCTTCGTGGAAGCCCACAGCACTTACAGAACGTAGGCCACAACTCCGACACCCCACAAGTCCGTCCCCTGTCCCACGGGGTCTCCGCGCACGACCTCTGGCGCTACGAACTCCGGGTTCCCGTATTTCACCAGCAGCTTCTTCTTGGGGTCGTAGATACGAGAGTTGCCGAAGTCGATCAATTTGATGTCGTTTAATCCGTGTCGAGACAGGAGAATGTTCTCCGGCTGAAAATAAACAAATAGTGATATAAAAACTAGTCTGCGTTATTGAAATGAAAACACGTAGGGGTCTATATTATTTGACCAGGTATCGGGAAGACGTCGCTTATACCTGACCAATGATTTGTGGTAATTTGGACACAAATAGTCTGCTTTATCCCTCAACAAGCTCTCTTAAAAGGATCCATAATTGTCATGAACCTCGTATCCTACTTTTCCAATACAAGATTATATTTCATAAAGACCCAAGCTGACGCCGTGTTATAGCCTTTATCATCATGCTTTAAATGAAAAGAAGCTTTCACATTGGTGATGAAAATTACGCGCACTGAACCGCGATTTCCAGATTATTTTCGCTCTTCTCCTTACATGTTTTCCGCAAGTATTATAAAAACTGCCATTTATTTTGACGCGGGCACGCATCTGTCAACATCTATGGTCTTCTGATCCTTTCAGAAACAAAAGCTATATTTTTTAATGTATTTGCAGGTGGGAAGGCATGTTATCTTGTCCCGTGAGCTAGGTGTGGGGATTATTTGATCGCTTTTTGCGTAATAACCCTGACCTTATGGAAATACAACAATGAACAGCAGCAGCTCTTGAAAAAAAAAATCCTCAGTGGCCTAGAGGTACACACTTGAGTTACGACTGACATGAACGTGTGAAACAGACCAAAATGCTGGGCGACGATGGGCTACATGTACTACATACAACGGCGATGTTCGTCCTCTTGATACAGGACAACTTTAGTCTGTGAATTGGCCTAGTTTGTGTCACTGAATAGCCACATTATATTTCAGCTGAGACCGGTGTTGCAAGGTTGCCATTTATCAAAGGCATCCTTGATACAGAATACAATCTGGATTTCCCTATTTCAGATGCAAGAGAACTAAAGGACAATCGTTGGTTTAAGACTGCATCGCGAATCCGCCCCTTAAGCTCATATACACTTAAAAAAGAGACAAACGAAAAGGTAGTCTTTAACATTTCTGTGCAAATTCGACTTTATGAGTAAAAATATGAAATGCATCAAGAAAAGTTTGGAACACGTATTCCATATTACACGTTTGCAACAGTTTTGTGGTCGTTCGCTTGACCTGACCAAAAGGTTGACCATTATTTAGGCGCTCTAAACAACGGAGCGCATTGCACCTAAACTGTGTGAAATTAAGCATTAAACTACTTTTTATAATGCTGTCGCATGACCTCCTTCAGGGCATATCGCAACCACAGTGCCCTATGTACTCGAAATTCTCCCTTACAACCAGCAAATTTCCCAATTGTTAAAGTGGGAAGTGTATCTGATATCATGAGCAATTAAAGGGGTTTAGGATAACAGCAGAAAAAAGTCTTAGTGACCCTGACAGTTTTAATGAAGTTCTTTTAAAAATAAAAAATATTTTACCATTAAAGCATCCGTATTTTGTGGGCATGAACGTTAAGTAAATGTTATGAATATTTAAAAAACTGACTCCTTGAACCTCTCTACACGCGAATTAAGTGTCAGTCACCCGTTTAAAAAAATACTGTATTTAAGTAAGACTGCCACATAATTAACAATTTATCAACAAATACGAAGCACGTTTCGCTAATACACACACCTCACAGACGTTGACGCACAGTCTACACCTGCCACACCTGTACTTATCTGAAGTACTGTAGCAACAGGTGCCTATACCTGTTACCCCTCCTCTCCAGCGCTTGAAAATGTTTCACTTAGAGCAAGCAAAGTATTATTACACCGACTCGAGCTCACGTAACGAATAAGTTAATTCATTGAGACTTGATAATGTGTCCGTTCGAGCATCACTTTGGCAGACGGGGCTCAAATAAAAAATTTGATAATGTCTTTTTATACACACATAATAAGGTATATTTTGGAAGAAATAAAAGTGTTGCTGGATATTGCAAGCACGTTTCAATGGAATCGCGGGGATCATACTGGTTTAATATTTTATGACCCTTTCTTCCAATCTAAATGCAAAAAAATATCGTGACTGCATTTATAACAGAAAATTAATCATGGGCCAATTCACTCCGGTCGGAAAGAATGCCAGCGAGTGGGATGCGATTCTATTTTAAACGACGGTCGCGCTTATATGAAATGCCTCGACGTGGAGCAGTGAACAAGAATGCTATTGATACCCTGTTTACCATATATGATATTAATAGCTATAATACAGAAAAAGTATAGATGCTGTTTCAACAGTGATAAACCACACACATGAACCTAAATCTGTGCCAATATAAGTGTGCAGCACTTTAAAAAACACGACACAACTTTCCCCGTAACTCCCAAATACCCATCATGTCCACCTACCTTTATGTCGAGGTGTAGCACGTTGTTGTCCTGAAGGTGCTGCAGCGCCTCCAAGAGCTGTTGAATGTAGAACGCTGCACGAGCCTCGTTGAGGTTGTCCTCGTGGACGACCTTGTCAAAGAGTTCACCTCCAGTGGCGCTGGGATACGACGTCAAGGAGCAACATGTTCAAAATCACTATGTCCTATTAGTTATTTCACACCAGGCTCCTTGGATGTGTTTTTGTTTGTGCCATTCAACTATTTCATTTACATTAGCCAAATGTGCATTTCGATCGTGATTAGAATATAAGGACAACTTCAGTTTGAATAAGGTGCTCCAGCCTTTTGTGTATTTATAGACACGTTTACGTTATGACGTCTTTACAACTTCTACACAGATATGCGAATGTCCCAAATCTATACACAGTGGAGCAGACGACACCTATTCAAAGTAAAAGTATACCTGTAGACATGCATAGTCTATAAATACACCTTACATTTGGAGTAAGGTCAACGATAGGATTTTTAATCAAATATTATAAGCCTTGGACGCTTCTTTAAATATTGACACGTGACGTGACGAGGACAATCGCTGTAAATATTCTCTTCTCATATTACTGTCACCTATCCCAGATCCAAGAATCAAATATATACCATACGCATTACACGTCAAAGCTGTGCACAGAACGTCGCAGATTAATATTAATATCGTTTCGTTATCATCACTGATTTCATCAACTGTTTTGCCTGTTCGCACGAAAACAAATACTTTATATGCACCCACTCAAATCATCTAATCTGCAATTTTGTCATTGACTAAAACGGCATTCGCGTTCACTTGTCAGTGCGCTGGCTTATTGTGTCTGTCATCCGTGTGATGCTTGTTAAAACAGGGCTTTTATTTTGAGGGTATTACAATCAACAATGGCATTATTAATACATTGAAGAGAGCAGGATAATTATGCAACTTATTATGCTAGAAAGAGTACATCACTACACTAATGATATAAATAACTTGTATTCTTTTTTACAAACACCCATTACATGTATATGTGTGTGTGTGTGTGTGTGTGTGTGTGTGTGTTTAGGTGTTGGCGGGGTTACAGTATAAATATAATTTAAGCACATGGTCATACAATATCAATGAGAGGTTAGGAGTTAGACAAACTCATTACACGATAAAGCAGTGTTGACATATCCTTGCTAAAGCAGGTACAATTCTAAATCAAAACGGTAAAACAAAGCAAAGTGTAGTTCATTTGAGTCTGATTCATTTTTCTTTGTCTCATTACACTAATTTATTCATCTTGTCAAATCATTATTATTTATTTATAACCATTATTTTCATTTTTCAGAAACCAATGACATATTGCTCAGGTAGAAGTAATTGAAATTTATCTGTACTCATTCCAGTGACAGACTAGAGTGTAAGACTGGGTTCCCACAGATTTAGATCGATCCATCTGGATCTACCTAACTCCCTGGTGGTTCAAGCTAAATTGCTGTCAGCCAAGCATGCACGAAAGTTAATTACCCCTTACAGCTTTTAGTAGGCAGGACAGACATTTAAGCTGGCTAAGCTGACAGCAATCTAGTGAGACTCCCCATGGGGATAGATCGATCTAAAAATCTGTAGGAAGGCTGTCTAAAACTTTCAAAGGAAGGGGGTCAGGTTTGATATGCACAGCAGCAAAGTCAATTAAGTTATAAATCAAACCTGGTGCTATTCTGAGAGATGTAGTAAACCACAATGAAGATCCCTTATGTAATATAAATACCACTTCATATACATAACATTCATGTTGAATTGCACCAATAACCTGTTCTTTATAATATACATGTCTGGTAATTACTGGTCTATAACCAGTCATTTCCAAAGATAATGGATTTTTTTCTAAAAACAGATTTTTTTTTATCCCCTTATTTGACCTAAATTAAGAAATGGCAAAGAACCTAAAACAAATTCAATTCCAAGTACATCTGCCATACAATGTAATAAAATATTTAAATAAGGATCAGTGACCTCGCTCCTTACCTCCAATTTTTAATTTTAGATGATTTATATATCAAATATATGTTTTTAGTAACTATAAAAAGCAGAATGAAGACATCTACCCTCAATTTTAGATAATGTAGTCACCTGAAATATTTCATAAGGTAGATGCCTCCCTAGAGATATCATGGATGGCCCTCTATTTATCTTCTATTAACTATTTTTCTTAGTCACTAAACTGATTAAACTGGTTGAAATTTTACCACTTAATTTAGATGTTTTTTTTCCATTATTTTTATATTTCTTTATGTTTTTTCCATTATTTTTATATTTCTTTGGGCTTGTTAATTTTAATTTTGACTGTTTGCTCTTAAACCCACTACTATGAGTGACCAATGGACTGAAAAGTCATTTTAGAAGCTTTGTAAGAAACCCTTCTGCGAGATCATTCTGCACATGTAACTCACTACAAACTTCAAAATTATATATTAAAACCATTAACTTTGGATTAAAAAAAAAAAAAAAAAAACAGGCACAAAAATTAACCTCAACAAACAATATGCATTTTCACAACAAAGTCAAAGGATACAGGTCAGAAACCATAGCCAGTCTCTTGGGTGTCTCGTAGGCATCCACCAGTTTTGCTATAAGCCTGTGATTTGCTTTCTTCCATGTGTCCAGTATGGGGCGGAAGTCCTGCTTGTCATCTTCATCCCGCACCTGGAGGTATTTAGCAGCATACTCGTGACCAGTACACCGCTCTATTACTCTTCTGACAATACCACAAGAGCCCCTGAAGTAAATGATACAATTCATTGCTGTAAGGTTTAATTACATGCAAGATTTACTTTAATCCAATATCCTTTACTTGCAACAAACACTGAAAATGAGCAACATTTATTCAAAATCAAAATATACATATAGTGCTTGAAGTTTGTGAGTAATTACCACATTTCTTTTAGGATTTTAGATGGAACAGTACATTGTTAATTACAAAATCAGTTAATTTGCAAGATGAACTAAGCTCATAAGCAATATAACAAAAGAAAAGCTTCATAAAACTGCTAACAAAAATATCTTCTCACAATTGCAAATACACAGAGAAGTTGACAATACTCAAAATAACTCTGATAACTGAGTACTAGTACATTTGTAATATGCCATAAGGCTTTGCATTCTACAAGGCTCAAGAAAGTTCTTTATGGGGGTCTCAAAGCCAATTCAAAGCAAATGTCAATATCTACCTTCCCAGCTCCTCCAGAATATGATAGTGGTCCTCAAGATACAAAGGTTTAAATTCAATTTCCACAGGTTCAGGCAGGTCTTGAAAGTAAAAGAACAACAATCAACAGATCAAAATGCTATTTTGAATTTTAAATAAATAACCCTTTTTCTTACAATAAAAATGCCATGATAACATGATAACTGATGAATAATATATGTAAAATATCTGAATAAAGCATTTCTACAAACAGAAATACATAAATGAGTACCAGTATATGAAGGTACAGTAGTTAATGCTGTGCCATCCCAAAAGAATTAGTTGATATTTCCTATACATGGTCAGATGTTTGTATTTAACAGACATTTTTCAAAACTTGACAAGATATTCCTTACCTTCCACATGCACATTAGCAGAGCAGAACACTTTCCCTGCCAGGTTCTCTGCCACGCAAGTGTACAGGCCGCCATCTTTGTCTATGGCGTTGTTGATGTTCAGTGTCCACTTGTCTGGCCCCTCTTGCTGAATGCTGACACGGTATGATCCTGGCAGTGCCCGCCAGTCCTTCATCCACTTTACATCTGGATACGGGATGCCATCGACCCGGCACTCCAGACGTCCTGACGTACGCACTGGGATGAAAATGTCTTTAATTGGCTCTAAGAATGTTGGTGGATCTGAAAGATATACATGTATACTTTAATTAATCAAAATGTATGTTTTGTAACAAGAGTGACTGGCAAAATACCACTTATAAGGTAACACCCCCCTCTCCACGTACTCACAAGTATCCCAGTACAAACATACACTAAAAATGTATCATGGTCTATTTATAACAATTTGTCAATGATAAAGATACACTCCTACTCTCTGACTGATTCAGTGCATAAACTTAGGTCTGTCATGATATATACTATGTACTAGTACTGGTACATGCAGATATGATTAAATCTACTAAGGGTGTATTCCCAGAGATTTAGATCGATCCAGAGATTAAGATTTAGATCGACCTAACTCCCTGGGGGTTCACGCTAAATTGCAGTCAGCCAAGCGTGCACCATAGTTAATTACCCCCTTATAGCTTTTAGTAGGCTGTAGTGTTCACAATTATAATTCCCAGACATGTAAATTAATTTACATGTCTGGGAATTATAATTGTGAACACTACTTTGAATAATTAAAATTAATATGTACCGCCAAATACTGCAGCACAGAATCCACCTAAAGATAAGAAATAGGTATAAAAGACGTATAGAATTGATATCGGGGGACAGACTGAAGAATACTCGAGGGAGACCGCTCGACGGAGCTATGGGAGACGGCCTAGAGCTTGGAGGCTTCACGTATAGAACATGTAGTTAGAGATCGTCAACCAATAAACCATTAAACTGGTCATTATGTGGACTTGGGTTTTCTTTGCGCTACCTTACGTAAATCTGACACGAAAAGTGGAATTCCGAATTGCGTTATCCACTGAGTAAGTTTAAAACGTAATGTCCTATTTCGAGCCCACGCTTGAATTAAGCGTTCTAAATTATATAAGTTTAGGACATTCATCTCATATGTATATGTAAAGGTACATAACAAGGCGGGACAGATGCTTAAGCCGGCTAAGCTGACAGTATTCTAGTGAGACTCCCCACAGGGATAGATCAATCTAAAATCTATGGAAATGGGGTCTTAATGTCTACATATCATGTTCAAACTATAGCTCTCACACAAAGTCCCTAACAATAACTGTACTGTCATGTTAAAACTAACTTACACAACCACAGGTAGCACACAGACTTTTCATTTTAAAACTATCATATTAAAACCAATGTACCAGCATAACTTACCTGCCAGTTCCAACCTAATGGTCGTGCAGTCTTGACCAAGGTCATTCTGAGCCCAGACCTTATAGTCTCCCACATCCTTGGGGGTCATCCTATTAAACTCCAGGGTACAAAGTCCATTTGGAGCCAAGTAGGAGTTGAATCGTTCCCCAAGAGGGAGCTTCTCCTCGCCCTTGTACCACCTGATCTTAGGTGGTGGGTAGGCATGGACGTACACTAAAATCTTAGCTGCTTTGGTCTCTGCAGCATACTGAGTAGGGTTGTCCACAGTGAAATAGGGGATACAGGCTGGTAGAGACAGAAATTGTTTCAAATTGATTTCCATTATACACAGAGTGTGTGTGTGTGTGTGTGTGTGTGTGTGTGTGTGTGTCTATTAGTGTGTGCTTCTATGCAAATTTGTGTTAGCTGGAAAAATCCTGTTTAAATTTATGATAAGCTTGGTATGTTATGTCAGTGATGTAAAATTTTATACAAAATGAACTAAGTCCTGCAACTATCTCCATAGAAAGAAACACAGTGAAGCCAGACTGTTTTTAAAATGTAAACATCATTTGAAAAGTGTACTTTTCCTTACGTTTCTCCACAGTTTGGGGTGTTTGAGACCTCCGGGGTGAATCCAGTGATCTCTCTGAAAAAACAAGAAAATGAAAAATAGTTAAAAATAAACAATGAAAATTCAGTAAAAATGCTTTCTTCTTGATTATGAATATTCGAACAGAAGTTTGGCAAGTCTTTTTTTTTTTTTTACAAAATTATCACATAAAAAGTTATTTATTTAATGTATTAATATATTCCTTCAGCAATCATTTCTTAGTAATACCTGAAGTAACATTCAAATATATTTTCTGAAAACCAAAGTTGCGGTCATGTCTTACAATTTTTACGAATATAAATGACATGACAAATTTTGAAAAAAAATTAAGGAAATAAACAAAGACTTTGACATTTATAAACCATTATCTTACCTCTTTGCTTTCTTGGTTTAATGGAGGCATCCCCAACTTCAGTTGGTGTGTAATCTATAAGAGAAAAAGATAAAATTAAATGTTAATATTCAAATAATGTTATACCATTTCCTTATACAGTTTTTAAGCTGGGTAACAATGTTTCAGTACTTCTGTATTTTCAAAATAAATCTCTGGCATTTATCTTGCAAATGAACAAATCAAAATATTCATTTTCCCCCTGAAATTACACTGTCACAGATGACATTCAGTGTACAGAATGAAAAGGTAGACTCAGGGTCAGAAAATGTCTAAATTGATAAGCTGTACAATAATGGTGCCTGAAAACTGAAAATTAAACACACACACACACACACACACACACACACAAAAAAAAAAAAAAAAAAAAAAAGA